CTTGTCAGCACAATTACATTATTTTACAACCGAACCACCTCCTTTTTACCTCTTCTTATCCCATTCCATTGAAGGCTATGCAGTGTGCCGCACATGCATTGCACCTTGTTCGAATAAATGTGTGCTCATTCTTTAGTTCTTCCCATCGTATTGGAGGTCTTCTTGGAAGCCACCTGCCATTAGGAGTTATGTTCTGTATCCGCTTCACACGGTGGCTATCGTCTATTCGTAAAAAATGATCCCTCCTTCCAAAACGTTCTGTTTGCAGCCAGTCGGCCACCATGGTTGAATAATCCAATCTGTCGCTGACAACAGCATACCACGCTGGAAGTATCACTTCACGTCTAATATTGATCTGGAAATCATCCTGTCCGTCGTTTCCACTTTTCTGTTTTCTGCTTTGTTAAGTGCTGTCTTCTCTATGCTACAGAACAAGACACTCAGAATGCAAGCCCTGCATATATGCAGTTTGGTGATACGGCCAACATTCTTGTCTTTCCAGAGCTTGAATAAGTTGTTACTCCCTGTCTACGCCTACGCACAATGCCTCATACCTTCGCTTACCACTTGTCCGTCTGCAGCCAATGTACTCCCAAAATACAGATGTTCTGCTACTGTTTCCAAAACTTTGATGTCAAGGGTCAGATAGTTATTGATCTGGGATCTACAGTTTCCATTCTCGTCTTTTATCTTACGTAAATCGAAAGATGCAGATCAGGACCCTTCTATTACAGAGTTAGGAACAGTTGCAGCCTCAGAAAAACATGATATTATCTGTGGATGCAAAATACTTTACGGAAATATTGCTCACTCACGCCGCCGTGAAATAACTCCTACCCATTGGCTGAAGTGCCCAGTGAAAAAACATCGCAAAGAGCAAAGACTCAACCCCGCCTTGCCTCACTCGAAAGTTTGTACGAAAGAATTTGTCGAACTTGCCATCAAGTCGCACTGCACTTGATGCGAAATCATGTATCTATTTAGTTATGAGAATAATCTTTTGTGGGATTTTCTATCGTTCACCAATTTGCCACAAGGCATCTCTCCGGATTAAGCCAAACGCTTCAGTGGAATTGACGATTATTGCAAAGAATTTGGATCACCATTTTCTATTCTTTTCCAATATCTAGTCCGAACATCCTCTACACCAGGAATCGAGGCTGCTCCTCTCCAAAGATTTTTTCAACAAAAGTCTAATACTGCACCCCGCAACGCACGAATTTCTTAACAGCAGTGTAGGCTGATCCAATGATAGTTATTTGGACTCAAGAAACGGTCAGCCATTCTTGAATATAAGAACCACAATATCTTTCCTCCATTCATTTCTGCCGTGCCAATCCAATGAGATTCACCAACGCCAGCACTCCACTTATTCCAGGTTCTTTCATTAATACCGATTGCAGTTCATCATCTCCTGCAACTCTGACATTTTTCAGTTTGCTTATGATTTCAGTCACTTCTTCAAGGGGTCAGTTACTCATCACTAGCATCCATGTTTTGTTCAGATACGGTATTATAAAGGAATCTTGTTTTATATAATTGCATCAGGGTTTACTGGCGACTAAAGGTATTTTCTCCATGTATCAATAATTTCTTTATGGTTGGACATGATTTCACGCTTTTAACTCATAACGAGTGTTATTCGAAACTTCTTTTTGTAGAAGTAACAGTGAACTTCCCTCAATAATGTCCACATCTTCCATTATTTCACCTTGCCTCTTCCAGTAAAGTGAGTTGTC